TAATAAGGAAAAGACTTTGGTTGAACATCTTACTTCACTTGTACTAGCTTTTCGAGTGAATGAGTGAGAATCAGGGAGCAAGACGAAGGGAAGAAGAAGAAAGCAAAACCACAATGATACTCCGGTGCCTATCGAAGCAGCAAACAAAATGTGTGAAGAACAGACAAGCATAAATCCCTTGCAAATTATTCGTGTGAAATAATTACAGAAAAAGAAAGAGTGAAATAGGGTTTTGTTATTTGTCAGATCATGTATACATCGTTGAATGTAGAAGCTTTAAGTTGTGCACAAAGTTAAAAGAAGAAGAAAAATTGAGGGCACGAGAGAACGCTGCATCCATGAGAAAACAATAAGCAATAAACTAAATGTTGAATAAAACAACCATGGAGAACATTGCGAAAAATTATTTTCGCTTTCGGAAGTAATCTGTTTTTGTTAATGGGAGTATTTGTTTGCAAGTTTTAATGGTACTGAGGAAGTAATACACCAGCCGAAATTCAGTTAGATTACACAATTGACGTTGCTTTGCAATAGTTGTGCACTTTCACATGTGAATATTATCACACTTCACAAGTTTCACGGAAAATTTCTCTGTTTAACGCTCCCTCACGTAATGTAATCGTTCAAATGATGCTCCGAAGTCTTAATGGACCGATTGAAAATTAATGCAGCATACTTGTCTTTTGCGATTGAAGAAAACAGATTTCAAGAATTTTACTTCTTTTCAAGTGGATTTCTTATGCTGAAGTATCATCTATTTATCAGAATACCAACATTTTCAACGACATACAGTTTCTATTTATCATGGTCCTTAATTTGGCGAAAACAGTTCATGTTTTCTTATTAAATTTGAAAGATTTATCCAGAAAAGAGTGCCGTTCATTGGAGAAGATGAAAAAAAATTAAATTCCTCTGAATATATATCGTTGCTGCGATATTGACGTATCTATTGAGTTTAAGTAGTGATTTACCATCAAGCTGAGCATGATACAGTAGAAAAATAACACGTTCAGCTGCCTTCTTAATTTCATCCTTGAGTTTAACGATGCGCTCTTCTTTGCATTCTGTCAAGTAGTTCTGCAGTGCAACTACTTCTTCCGTTTCTTTCGGTCGTTCACCGGCACACATCGACATCTCTTCGAATTCATCGCAAATACTGGGAAAAGAAATGGAGAAAAACAACAACACTGATAAGTTAAAATCAACACATCTTCGTACACTGACAACGTATTTTCGAAACAAAATTAATTGCGATACGATTTCATTTTTGTCTGGAAACTTTAAATTCAGCTTCTTGAATTATTTATTGATCGATAAAGTTCTCGTATCGACAAATATCATTCTGTGTTCAATGTGTTTACGTACCGTCGATTTTCTTTTTGATTCAACGCCTTGAAGTAATCGGTAACAATATTTTTGATTTCATGCAGCAGCGTAATAATGACTTTGTTTAAACAACGACAATCTAACATAAACAAATTCAATGCAACATAATCGGCAAGGAAGAAACTTTCATCAATAACAGCATCCACTTTTTCCATGAACGAAATGAATTTCTACGTATGCGATAGAGAGCGAGAGAAAAAAATAGAAATTAATTTTGAAATAAATTGCTTCTTCGTTTTTAAACGATCATTGAAACATAATTGAAAATGGCAATTGTCAGTGGAAATTTGATTTGTTTCCATTGAATGCGCTAATTTAATTGGCATTTTTTTCCACTATTTTTCTCACAAACTGTGTTCAAGCGGCAATAGTATTCAGTTTTACCGGCAATTTCGGAATTAGGTCCTGCTCGAAAATACGCTCTGTCATCAATTTAATTTTATCGGACAATAATGAAGAATAATACGTATAAATTGGATAGAGGTATATTCTTGGTCCCGGTTGATTCACCTCTACAATTTCGCGTACATTCTCATACAGTCGCAACATATCGACATGACTCTCATCGATAACATGCAATTGGCCAAATTGTTCAGCATCTAAAACACGTATTGAATTGTCATTTATGCAGACAGACAGAGAGACGACAAAAAAAATCAATATCAGTATTTTATTTTTGTAAAAAAAAAAAAAATTAACACACTGATTAATTGAAACTCAGAACCGACAAAACGAAATACCGACTCGTTTAAATTGCAATTCGAAGTGAATTTATTTTTAATTAGAATTTTATTGATGAGACACTAGTCAAAACCATTCAAAAAAAGCTCAGTCTCTTACATACTAAAATGTGACTGATTACCTTGTGACATATAATATTCAAGACGCGGAATATTGTAACCAACCCGAAGAATTTCTTTAAAATAACTGACAAATAGTTCGGGTAGTTCTTCAATGTACGGCTTGATAAATAGCTTTCCGCTTTCCTTGAGCACAAACATTGATTCGCTCGTTAGACTAACGGTTGTATTCGTCTGTAAAAATGTTAAAAATTCTCGATTATCCAATACCACGCAATTCGTTCCAATGGCATTAAATCAATTTTCAAAAATTGAATTACGCCATCCAATCGCAGAAAGCAATCATTTTAAGTATCTACAAAAGTGACAAACCTTTGGCATTGGATTATTCGACGAAATGGTTGGATCGTCTTCATCGTCATTATTATATAAATTAAAGTGGTTTTGCTTAGTTGGTGGTAAATCATGGAAATTGTCATAAAATTTTCCAACTGCCATTATATAAAGCGTCATAAATGGGCGATATATCAATTTTGGATGATTTAAATCGTATTTATCGACTTCATTTCCTTCCTGATTTTGAGTCGCGTGTATATAAGTGTCGTCAGTTTTCATTTTTTTTTTCAACAAAAATAAAAATCAAATAATTCAAATCCCACAATAAAAACAAATACCAAGTGTCAATTTAACTTTTATTATGGCGTGGCAAATACACAATTCTTTATTCTGTATTTAAAGGAATGCATATTTGCCAGAAAATATTGAAAATTCAATGGAATTTATCGTTGATATCGTCTCACCTTATAAATGATAAGAGCATTGTAAAAATGGTCAATGCTGCGTTTGATAAGTTGTTGCAAATGCTTCGACATCAGTGCATGAATACAACGGAAAAGAATAGCAGCGCGACCTCCGTCTTTTGATTTCATTGGCACCAAATTTTTCCAATAATCGATCATAGTGTCTACCAAATCAGCACATCGAGGCAACCAGTCGTTCATCAGAATCTGATAAAGAATAAAAGCACAATTCAAGAAGACATATTCAATACACGAAAAGATTACGAAAATAAAAAAGAAAAAAACGTTAGTAAATCGCATGCCCACACACACACACACACACACACACATACACTCAATGCAACTTCGGGACGAATGAAATTGCTTTCGGTTACGGGCTTAGTCTCAATGATGCCCATCGAATACACAAATAATCATATTTATATCTTGCATTGAGATGAAGTAGAAAAAGAACGAAATAAAAAATAATAATAAGGAATAGGATAAATGGGAGAAAAAAATCGGGTAGTATTTTTAAATATTTTCTCACAATGGTACATACAAGTCACTTACTTCCTCAATAACGTCATTTTCCATTCATATGAAGCAATAAAATGAGAAAAAATTCATAGCGGAAAGACTCCAAAAATTACTAACGAACAAGAACGCCCAAGTTTCCAAATCGTTCACAAAATCAATCGATGCTGAATAATATGGCATTCATATTGAATTCGATTGAATTGAATCAAAATTCAAAATCTTTGAAGTCATTTTTTCTCTGAAATGTTGTATTCATTTTCTTGAACTCAAAACACACAATAAGATTCTTTCTGATATATTTTGGTTGGCCATCTCTTGTCGGTACATTCATTCATTGTTGACTAGACAATAAGAAGCATGATTATGCCTCTTTTCCATCTGTAAGTCGGTTTTGGGTAGAAATTTCGTTTTTGCTTCTTGATTTCTACCATTGTAATACTGTCATTCATGATAATTGAAAAAGAAAATTATCCATGACGGTATTATTTTTTTTTCTATACCCTTTGCAAGAGATAAAACTTCATCGAAGAGGTATTATTTGAAACAGACTTTTTTCCATTTACTTTTTTTTGTTTTATATCATTTTTTGCACATTTCTCCGCATTTCTTTCTATTACTCGGAAATGTATGACCTATAATATTCGAAAAATCGTAAATGATTATGATTTAAATATGATGCCATTGAATTGACAAGCGTTTGTTCAGCGAATGCAAATCGCTTCTTATCATTATGTAACGTACCGATGATCGATGTTAATCTTCTCATCCATGTTTAATTTTCCTTTCATTTTCTTATATGCTAATACTTTTTTCTCATTGAAAATTATGAAAGTGATCGAGACTATTAATTTTTGTTTTACTTTAAACATCAAACAAACGAACGGCAATTTGTGGTCTTGTTGATGAAATATTTTCGTTTTATCATCTATAAGTGACATCGAGAAAAATAAAATAATTTGAGATGAAACTTTATAGCATGAGAAATGTTTTGAATCGTTGAATTTCGATTCGTGAACTTAGCTTGAATGTCCGATAATTTTCGGCTAATGGTTGAAATGTGTTCGTGTTGATAAGTCTGTTTTCCTTCTGATCACATACCCAAAACAGTTTATTTGACATTCAATTTGATACTTTTGTAAAGAATCGAAAGCCGAAAACTTTACGAAACATTAGCTACTTAACGTCAACTATTTGAATAAGTTGATTTTTCCTCACTGTTGTGAGAAATTCCAAAACATTTACACAATTAGAAAATGCCCAAGTTTCACATTGCAACATGAAACCGTACTCTTTCAAAAAGTAGACAAAAGCCGTTCCCAACGGGCAAACAAACAAGAACTCAGACGAACGAGAACTCATTGGCCAGCAACATCATGGTTTAGAAAATTTTGATGAAAGGATGCTTTTCAAAATAAACTTCAGAGGTAGATGAAACGACGTTGACAGCGGCCCTATAAACTAAGTAGAGAAACACGCAGAGAGTGAGAGACGCCAAGCTTTTGTTGCAATACCAACCGGTGTTAGCAACGCTATTGCAAGAAATGTCCAAAAGTGCCTGAAAGAAGAGAACTATTGAATAACAACCAGTTATGCAATGAATTTTTGGAATGCTATAAATAATAATTATATAGATAATAAATATATATAAAACTATATGCACTTGCGTAAATTTCGAAAGGAGCACAGAACACTGATTTCAACTTGAATATCCATTCAGAGCATTCTCGTTGTAAGCATGATGATAGAATATAAACGAAAAACTGGTTAGCATGTATGTATGTTGTATATATATACAATACATACACGTTCAGCTAGTTCATTATTCGAGTCATTAAGTTCTGTTTTGAAGAATATTCGGATGCAAAATAGATGCCGTGCATGAGAAATGCATATCGTGTGTGACACTAAATGCAAGTACATGCTATAAAATGAATATAAAGCATCTCAATGGTGCACCCACCAGACAACACATCAGCATAAGCATACATATGATAATTGTGCTCTTTAAATTTGCTGCTTTGCTAAAATTTAGTTTGAGAATAGACGTTAGAGAATGGGTGAATGTAGCCGGTGCGATATTAATTTATGCTAAGAATTTTAACAAACAAACTTCATTTTCAACACGAAATTACTTCGATTATGTCGTATTTTCGGTTCATTTCACTCAATAAAATACAGTCACTTCATATACTATATGTGACAATGTGAAAGTATTGAAGAGTATGGCTGTAAAATGTCGATGCTTTTAATTTGTGGTTTGGTTGCTTCACAAAGAATGATTTGATCACATGGTCACATTTTATCATCATCCATTCTGACTTCGGTTTGAAATTGTGGTAAATTATTCGAAAAAGAAGAACCTTTTAATATACTTACGTCTCTGGCTATCATACAGCAATTATGCACCAATTCGGTCAAAACATCAAAATGTAACGGAATTTTACTATCATAGCATTTCTTTGTATCGAACACAATGAAACTATCGTATCTGAGAAAGACACATAGAACAAAATTAATTCAATGATTCACATAAATTTCCCATTCATACTTACAGTTCATACCACAAATAATTCAACGCTTGTAAAACGGGATGGGTTACCATTAACACCTGGTTAAACAAAAACTTTCGTTATTGATATTTATGAACAAGTAATTGAACAACCAAAACTAAAATTTTGAATTGAAAATATCAATAATAATTTTTTTATGATGTGTATTTTTTGTTACAAAGTTTCACAATTCGAACTGAATGTAAAAAATATGTACAAAACACATCCTACCTGGTCCAAACGATTAGTGGCCAATTGAAAATTACATTTCCATGAAACGGGGCCACGTATCGTTGCAACAGGAAAGCTCAACAAATTTGGATCCATTTCTAGCTTTAAATGCTTTCTCTGATCCGAATAACTGTCGAATATAGCGTATTAATAATAATTATCTTATTTTGTTTGAATTAATGCAATATACTGCATAAAATTAGCTTAAGAATATACATAACATAATTATTATGTGATGATTTTCGAATTAAACATATTTTTTAAGAAATAAAAATATTCACCCACCTCAATAAAATTTTTAATGTTGACCGTTTGATAGCCATACGAAAATCTTCTTGCAAATCCAACAATAAAATAACAATCAAAATTGCTTCATTTTCCTTCACTTGATTTTTTGCATTGAACAAATAGTTCACCAGAATTAATTCACTGTTGATCTTGGGCCAAGAATTCTAGTGCAAAATAATCAATAATCTTCAAAAATCTACAATCAAATGAAAGAGAGATAAAACCGAAACATTTATACCTTTTCACGTTTAATAAATTTGTGTGCTTCTCGTAAGTAGGGTCGGTTTCGATCGATTCTCGGCAATGTTTTGATTATCAAATGCGTTGGATATCGTTCAAGCATTGTTACTGCAATCTGTAAAAGTGTTTCAATTTTTCTGGTGAACATAATATAAATCGAAACTATTTTTTAATGCTTAAAAATGCTGAACATTTGTTTAATGGTTTGTTAAAGAATGCTCTAAACAGAAGTAACAAAGTAAAGAAATGTGCTGTTAGTTAAATTGGTTTTCAATACACTGTACACTACACACTTTTTATAATGGTATGTAAATTTCTTAAATTTAAAAAGAAACATATTGGACTCAAGTTTAACGCAATCGAAAAATACCATCAGATTTTCATTGGATATTAGTTTTGTTGTTTCGTTGTCAAAAACACACTCGCCCAATTCTATTCGCATGACATCTTCCACACAATGATAATCTAATCTCTATTGAAAATACACTATAATTGTAGTGTACATAAAATTGAAAACCTTTTTATGCTGCCCCGATCTTCGTTTGGGGACTAGGTTGCGCATAAATTTTCATTGCTATTGGAGAAAGTGGAAATGGTATATAAAAAAGGTAAAACTCTCAATCGAGAAAAGGAAAAAAACATAAATAGTTTTTGAAATACGGACGCATACAATCCTTTTTCAGACAGACGCCAAAAGCTTATTCGATTGTTTGGACCCTGAAACTCGTTCATATAATATTCGGATTAACCTGTCATCCTTTTTTTCTTTTTCTCTTCGTTTTTGGCATTAGACTTTGCCACGGCACACAACCGAACAAAAGAACAAGAAAAAAAAACAGAAAAAAAGTTTATCTCAAGCAATTTTGTTACGATCAACGATTTATTTGTCGACCGACAAATTGCTGCTGCAAATAACAAAAAGGGACATAATGCAAAGAAATCAACCATATATTGAAAATAGATTCACGCAAAATGTTTGCCAAACTGGAATTTACAAAGACATGGCATTGTTTTATAATTCAACATCAATTCTCTTGAATTATTTATTTTCGATTTTTTTTTTCGAATAAATTATTTATAAAGTGGGTTAATGCAAAATGTTGTTTTTATATGGTTTATGTGTTGCTTGAATGGCGCACATATAAGATGACAAGGAAAAATGTTATTTAATGTTAGAGCAAACATTTTTTTTCTTTCAAGTAATTAAAAGAAACAAAAGTATGTGCCTTATTTAACTCGGTGGTCGATACTCATCAAACTAATATTACTAATATTCACACAAGTCAATATTTTTCCACAAAAACAACTGAAAAATTAAACTTCCTCTCTATTGAATTAACAAATTAATCTTAAACTAGATTTAGTTAGTATATGAATGAAGCGTATCACCTATTTTACGGCTTATACTAATGTCAAAAAGAACCCAAATCACTGAATGGCATGGAAATTATATGACAGTAAGTAAAGAAAAAGGCACAAGAGATTTACATGTTTGGAAAGATGGATGCTCTTTTGTTGCATGTCCAATGAAAATAATTTGATTGCTTGTTGAAGATGTAGCTCGTGTTTCTTAAGGATGTAGCATTTTTGAGCGTCTGGATCTACAGGTTGCAGACATTGCATCGCTTGAAAGATACTGATCGGGTGGTGGTGAAAAATCGTAGACAACACAACAGATTACATCAATTTTTCATTCATTCGACATCCATTGAGCGCCATTGAATCGCATAGATTTTCCGTAGATAAAACAGAAAAGTTGTCGTTTTTATACATTGCAACGACCACAGGTATTCCGTCCATCAGATTCGACACAGCATATTTTTTTTGTGCGTGCAAGAACGAGAGTTAACGAAAGAAAAAACAACAGTATCAACTTTTTTACGTTCATCCTTAGTCACTTTTTTATAACTTTTTCGAGCATAAAAATTGTGTAAAGAACCACAGTTAATATAATAGAGAAGTTTATAACCAAAAAATAAAGCAACAAGCGACTAAATCAGTCCTGGATTCTCAGAGCAAAAGATTTCCAAGGAAAAAACTCAGGTTAATTCTTTTACCGTTTTTCTTTCATTTTTAAACTAATCAAAAACTCTTCATTAGTTAGTGATTTATGATTTTTGCAAGGCTTGACGACTTTCCTCTCAGTTTTTCGCTGTGAATTCTGTAAAATGTAAATTATCATCGAACTATATGACATAAATGAATAACATTTTTATGTTGTTGAAATTTTTTTTTCATTGAAACAAAAAATAAAAAGAAAAAATTAAAAATATGCCGTATATCACAATTCTGAAGTCTTACATTTAGCTTGGTTTTTTCATTAGTTTGGCTCCATTTACTTGCTATAATGTCATCGATCATGTTACTTATTCGCTTTAATTCACGTTGACGTTCTGGATTTGTTTTTTATTGAAATTGGTATGTTGAAAACAAAAAATTTATCTCTTATAAATATTTGGAAATGAAAATTATTCACCTTCTGGTGTTCGATGCTTGAATTCATCTCCTGGTTTGTATGGGACATAGTATCGCATGTAAGTATTTTTCCCGCTTTTTGCTGTCACTGTGCGATTTTTGGATACGTCAAGAATAAAGAACAAATATTTATTACGCGCGGAATAAACATAAACACTGTGTAATCAGAAACTCATTGTGAAAATGTTCTCACACATTGCACTTAATAGTAGTAGTGGTAATACTTGTATGCTGTGTAGCTTACACAAGATTGAACTTTATACATTTTACTAACAATAACATTTTTCCAGTGTCAATACATATAAGGCAATAACAAAAAACCAAAAATAAATTAAATACAAATCCGCAACAAGCTAATAAAATTTTTCAATCCAACAAGATTAATGTCATAAATATGCTGTCTTGTAAAATCACATTGGGCTGCAAGGAGATCTTCTGATCTAGTAATAAGATTGTTTCCACTTGAATAGCTTCGCGGAAAAAGGCGCCATGTGACAATCAAGCATTTGGGATTGGATTTGGGTAAATATAAATAAATAAATGAAGGCACACCATAAAATGGCAACACTGCACTCGCTATGGGTGGAAAAGAGATTATGTGCATTTTCCAATATATTTATATCCAAATGGATTATAGGTATTCTCTATGCGAAGCACCTGTATCAGGTGCATCTTGAATTATATATAGTTTGGTATCAGTTATTTTTACTGCCGAGACCGGCGAACGAAGGACGAATATACCTAATTTTCTTACCCGTTGTTTTCCTCTTTCGTTTTCCATACTTAAGCGTCGTCAAAATCCGGGTATTGCGTTTCAAATTTTTTACGCGTTGTTCATTGCACAATTTCTTTAGTTGAATGGTTACATTCATTGAATGGTTAACATACAAAGCTGCGGAAATTAAACGTTTTTAGACAGTTTTTATGTTAACTTTGAGAAAAGAAAGTTGTTCTAAGCTTATTTTAAAATTTATGAATTGTTTGCATAACTACAATCTTTTTACTTACCATTTTCGCAATCGGTCATATCAAGTTCAAGCCATGACCAGTCATATCCTTTGGTCATATCCGTTGCTGTTTTTATTGGAGCCATAGTTTTCACACTTGGCATCAACCGTGAGTCACTTATTTTTTTATGGCTGGTAGTCGTCAAGGTTTTTGGAACACAACTTTCATTTACATCGTATGAACATAAATTTAAATCCGTTGCAAACAGAGAAGACTGACTCATTCGCAATTTTTCTGGCAGAGATTTTCAATTTTATCATTTAACCGTAGATATACATTATACATCTATTATATAAGTACTCACGTATTTTCTCAAGTATAAAAGGTTTCACTGGATCTAACGGCAGTTCATCAAATGAATGCACAAGCTTATAAAAGGGCAGCTCCTCACGATTGTGACGAAAATTCATTTTTACTTTTGATTTTACCTTCAATGGCATCCTGAATTAGAATATTACTTTTGGAATTTCACTTTTATTTTAATTAAACTATAATTAATAACTGCACAATCGAAACCAAAAACCAAGTAAATATATTTTGTAGATAAAATAAAAATATTTTATAGTATGTAAATGATAGTCAATCGATGTCTAAAATCATCAAAGAAAAGTAGACACAATAAGCCGGTTTGTAAACAAAATAAAAAATATACGTTGCTAACGAACACTCATAAATGATTTTTGGTGGCCAGGGCAACCTCTGTTGAATTGCAAATGTATTTATTTGTTGAATGGCAACGAGCGTGACTGTTTGAAAAATAAAGTGCTAACTCCATTACTCACATTGAAACACTTTGAAATAGTGCTCCATGTTTTAATATGACAACAATGACATGGTATGACTTTAAAGTGCTTGGGAAAGCAAATAATACGAAAAGTGCATTTTCAAGCTTACAAATACTTCATAGTACATGGTGTTCAAAGCTGCAAAGGTGTTTGAAATCAGCTTGAAATACTGTGAAAAGGATAGCATTAAAATGGTATTGACTTGTTAGAACGTGACAATAAGAATACATTTTAGGGCGAAGTTGGGCTGAAATCAGCCATTTTTACCATTTTCAGAGTTTTACATACAAGTGGAAATATTATTTCCTTCTGAATTTTTAAATAGCCTTTGAATTTTTGGAATCAACTATAATTTGTATCAGTATGAATCACATTTTTTTTGTTACATATTAAAAAATATATTTTTTGAATTTTCTACCCACAAATAAAAAGGATTTACTTCGACATTTTATATCAACATTTGAACATTTTTCGATGCTGTTCTAACGAAATGTCATTCATATTTATTTTTTTTATCCAAAGTACATCATCATAAAAAAAACATCGAATTATGTTTGCCTTGATGTCGAAAATTTTATGACTTGTTTCTTTACACAGTTGTATACTTATGCTAAAACTCATTATATAAATTGGTTCGGTTTAAAAAAAAACTCGACAAAAAATAAAATCGTAATATTCATTTGCTGCACGTTAGTATTGGTTTTGGTAGCATGATTTGCCATTCATACGGTGTCGCAATGAAACATGAATTTCTCTCTCCTTTGCTCGGTACGTGCGCCCGCAAAACGAAGACACATTTTTCGAATGTATGTGCTCTGTTACAAAATGTATTGGTTGGCGTGTGTTTCTGTAGTGTCATCCCCAATACTGTGCATGAGTCCATTGTAGAATGTGAACAGTATATTTTGTGTTCATGTACGACAAACAATTTTTGCATAATTTAGCAGTATCAACTGCAATAAATAATTTTGAAAATATGTTTTTAATGTACAGTGTACACTGTAAAATGTGCGTAGCGTATATTTTCTTTCTTTATCTTTATTCGTTTGGTTCGACATATTTCCCATTTTCAATTGACATATGTATTTTGCGATCTCTAGAGACTGACAAATAAACTGATTTGGTAGGGGAGAATATGAATATGTGAAGTAGATAATAATGATATACAAATAGAGTTCTGTTGGTATCGTTGTTCGAAATTCCGAATGCAATTTTCAAGTTTGTCAGCAGAAAAATATTTGGCTTGCATACCGATATCCGAATCAAATCAATAAAAAGGTAAATTCAGAAGTCCAGTTGATATGATGTAGTGAATAAGCATTGTGCTCGGGATATTTAGAAATTAACTCTTTTTGGAGTGGCAAGAAACGATACTTATCTCTCGATGCACGTTTGAGTATTTGTGTCAAACCACTTTTGACCATTAGTAATGGTCCATTACTGTAGAACTTATATTAGTTTCAATTTTACTACGAATAAGAATCAATCGACATATTCGACTGGGAATGATGTTTGAAAATGTTATTCATTTTGGGTTATGCTTGGTTAGCTTGTACATTTTTTGGCACATTGGATCTTAAATCGCGCATAAATAAAACCAGATAACTTGAAATGAATCATTGCATAAAACACACGAAAAGTATGACAAGAATAAGAAGAAGCAAATTCGGTTGATTTTTGTTTGACTTTTAGCAGTGAAACTTAAAGTGAAACAAGAATTTGCGGAACTGAAGCGAAAGAGGCAAATATTATTTGTCGACTGACTGTCTGTAAAGTATTTTGGTCTTTGAATACGTCAGTTATCGGTACTTTTTGCGATGAAAAGACATATTCACATTGGTTTTCAATTCCCCAGTCATTTATACAAATGTACTACTGTATCTAGCATCGTCATACATCTTTAATGCCTTCAGAATATGATGTTATCTTGAATAGCTTGTCATGTTGCTCAAATAAATGATGATTGTCAGTCTTTTTCTTTATCTTTCCTCGTCTCTCATTCTCAACGAAAGCTTCTCATCTTTTTCGGTGTATCAACATTGAGAAAAGTATATAGTACTATATATCACAAAATGCAATGGCTATTCGACAAACGAAGTACCTTTTGGATTCATAAAAAATGCACATTTCCTTGGAATATCCACGGCATATACGCTATTGACTCAATGACATTTTATTATGTATTTTCATAAAACGTTTTCAATAAATAATAATATCAAAAGTGCATTGGTATTTTCAATTTTCTTACTCACTATGCATCAATGTAGAATTTTTCGATACAAGTCAAAATGACGGAATATATTAAAAATAAATTAAAGAAAATAGAAGGAACTCATTCATTTGAAATATGTGGATATGCTTTTTTCCGGGATATTTCCATTCAACTTGAGAATAGAAGTCTCTTTCTCCAAAAAGTATTTAAATTGACTTCATCAATCAAACTTTAATAAGGTTGAATGCCATTCAATTCACCTTTTTCAATGTTTGCAGAAGCTTTGCCATTTGAAATTCAAATGCATTTTAAAAATATTTTATTCAATAAAGCAAAGAAAGATATGCAGCTAAAAACCAACAGAACAAATTAAAGGTAAAAATATTAAATATAGCAAATTGGAGATTCCTCTCATCAAAAATGAGGGAGTCATTAAACCAAAAATTTGTAAACGCTAAAAAATATTTAATTCATTATCGTTTGGGCGACGGATGTAAATCACCCAATTCGGGATAATTTCCAACATTATATATCCTCGTAATCAAGTTCGTAACTCAAAATAAATTGTGTGGAAAAGTGGTTAAGTTTGTATTACCAAAAACATCGTTTCTATTTACACATTTGCTCCAAGACAAAACATAAATTTATCGAAAATATTCATTAGTCTATGTGCAAAATAGACATTATTATAAGCTTTCTGAACATATACAGAATTATATGGCTTTCAGTTGTTTTCACTTTATATTTTCCAAATCATATGTTAAACATTTTTTTGTCAATTTTATATTTTCATTCGATCTTGTGCGTTTTATACAGAGCGAGCGTTGAAGCGAATGACGTACAAAAGTTGTTTTGCATATGAATTGGGTGTATCAAATATACCGCGCATCGCACGAACATAATTTTAATAACAATAGTAATAATATCTGCATAATGTGTTTTATATGCGACTTTTATGACACTCGGGCTATAGTTTTTCATGGACTATAGTCTGTATCTCACAATTCACACACAGACGCTATAAAATGTCGACAGATATCCGACAAAATAAAATAAAGTTCCCACATTCATCCACGTGGTCGTTGTATACATACGGAGAGCTTGCTTCTCTTGAAAATGGTCATGGAAAATCAAATCGTCGGCGATGCTATCATAATTTTGTTATTTCTTTCCGAAAATTCAAACATTTCAAAGTTGAGAAGTCTATTGTCTGTGATATTAATGGTCGAAGTTTTTTTTGGGTGAAAGTTTTTCATTGCGGCAATCTCAAAAGAAAAACGTACGATATATTATAAAGAGAAAGCAAAAAAAACTATACTTCTGTATTCGACTGAGAATAATTGGCCAATAGCCGTATTCTATTCAACTTGTAATTTTAATGTGTTTTTTTTTTGACGATTTGCTTCCATAATATACATTTTCATATTCACAAAGACACAAAACATCACTGGGACAACGAGACAGCTAATGTTGGTGTGCTTGTTTTTGTCTTTTCTTCATTGCATCGTTGTTAAAGTTTAAAATGTCGCATTTTTTTATGGGTAAAACTATTTATTTTCCGTGAAAATATTATAGAACATTTGATTTTATTTTAATGAAAGAGAAGATTTTATGTTTTAAAGATGTGTTGGAATTTCTAGAATAACAATCAACGATCCAATGACGATAATGATTTTAACTGGCGAAAAATGATCAACAAGTGTTTTAAATGGTAATGATAATGAATAAATGGAAAATTAACCAAAAGAAAATTGCTAGGACTTTTCTCTTTTTTCACAGTAACATTTGACTAAGAGGTTGAGGATCGTTTGACGAACGCAATTCATTTCCTGACGACTGTTTTACAAAAATCGTTTAAAAGAAATGAAACAAAATTTCGAACGAAGAGCGTTTTTCCCAGGACACAGCAAAGCTGACAGTAAAATGAATTATTCACTGGAAGGGAAAGTCGTCTTTTTACGCACGGCAATTTTTTTTTGAAAGTCGCAAAAAGGCAGTTCATTTTACAAGAACGTTTGTAAATTTGCACACGTTCTTAGACTACCAAATGTAAATTTATACGCACACATCAAGACACTCGTAGACACTCACAGATTGTATTTGGCAGCAACGGAACAGACCGTTGTTCCACAATGACTTTGTAGCAGATATATTAAAATTTAAGATACATGTTCTTCGCTTGTAATAAGATTGTCGAGATCTCCATTCTTCTGCAGACTTTAAGAACACATATGCGTGGGGTGCCCGCCTATTCTTTTTGCAATTTAATAAATCATTTGTGTAAATAATTAAGAAACAACGGGCCAAAGTGAACAAGATGAAAATGAAAACGATGCGTCATTGTTTAGACAATATGTCGTGCCTTTTAGATCTATGCGAACCAATTCGATGGTCTTTGTTTTATTATTATTTC